TCAGGTCCCTTCCGACCCTAGAAACTATGAAACTATGGTGATCCAACCAGTTGTATATCCACATTACAGTACTTTCATCTAATCTGTATTTCCTTAGTTTATTGATAAGATTTCTGTGGTAAACAACATGGATGAAACTTGCTAAAGTCACAGTACATTGCATCCATTGTCCCCGTGCCCAACCCCGCACCCACAGGGCCAGTCACCTTATTTTATGTGGAAGTTGGGTTGCTGAGGCATGACTTGCTCTTGGTGAATCCATGCTGGCTGTTCCTGATCACTGTGTTCTCTTCTGGAAACTTCACTGTAGCTTCACATTAGGGGACCTGCCCCATGATGTTTCCAGGTATCAAAGTCAGATTAACTGGTTTGTAATTCCCCAGATTTTCCTTCCTTTTTTTTTTTTAAAAAGATGGGCAATGTGTTTGGCCTCTTCATAGAATCATAGAAAAGTAGGTATAGAAGGGACCTCCAGAGATCTAGTTCAGCCTCCTTCGTGAGGCAGGATCATCCCTGTCCAAACCATCCTATACAAATACGTTGACTAACCTATTAGCAAAACTACACGGCCACCTCTAACACAAGACATAACGCTCTAATCTACCACAGGTAAAGTAGGGGGACCACAGTGGCCAACTTTCTGCTGTTGCAAAGTTTTTTCCAATCACTTGACCTTGAGTTCTCAAAGAGGATAGACAATGGCTCTGAAATTACCTCATTCAGTACCTTCAGTACCTAGGGTACATCCCACCTGGCCCTGCTGGCTTGAAAATCTAGCTTCTCTAATCCCTAACCTGTTCTGCCACTACCCTAAGATGTTTGTCTCCTTCCTGTCTTTGCTGCCAACTGTTCATCCCCTAGTAGCTGTCTTTTTGTGAAAGACTAAAAGTGAAAAAGGGATTAAATGCTTAAGCTTTCTCTCCATCATCTGTAACTAGATTGCCTTATGCATTCAGTAAGGGACCTACACTTTTTTTCATCTTCCTCTTTCTTCTGACATACTTGTAGAATCCTTTTTATTGTCTTTTATATCCCTTGTCCTTTACATCTCAAAACATAACTTGGCCTTCCAAATTTTTTTCCTGCATATTCATGTGAGACACTTACTTACATATAAGCATTAAGCTGCTGCTGCAAAATGTCTTTATGAATACAGAACTATCCTATAAAGAAGCATTTGATTTGTAAAATGGCAGTGCCTTGACGCTTATAAAATAAAATACATTGGTATCAGTCTACTAGTCCAATTTCTGTTCCTAGTAGGGGTGCACTGATCAAGATTGTCTTGGCTGATACAGATAGCCAGTTATTCACCAGGCATGTTGGGCAATATCGATTGGATAATAGATTTACAGGAGCACAGCCAGGCAGTATGGAGGGCAGCACCCTGCAGGTAAGTCTGTGGAGGGAAAGGGGCATGAGGGAGAGGGCAGATTGAGGTCCCCACGGTAAGGGAGGGAGTGGGGCTGGGGGTGCTGCCCAGCCAGGATGCTGAATGGGACCCTGGGGCCAGGGTGGGGGAAGCAGGATGGAGACACAGGTGGCTTGTCCAGAGAATCAGCATCTCTGTGCTTAAAAATGGTGGTGGGGGTGCTTGAACTAAAGCTCATCAAACGAGCTTTAGTTCAAGTGCCGCCACCACCACTTTTAAGCACCGGGACACTTTTAGGAGAAGGCAAGGGCGGACATGGGCTACCTGCTGTGGACTCGGGACTCTTTGCTCTGCTGCCTTTGGCCTGGGAGCTGCATGCTGGCCATGCCATATCCCCTGCCTGCACAACTTGCCACTGCCACTGATGGGCAGGGGATGCACAGCCAGCTTGCAACTCCCAGGGCAAAGGCAGCAGAGCAGAGAGCCCCAAGCCCACATTGGGCAGCCCGCCTCTGCCCTGTGCACAAATGGCCCTCCCCCATGCCTTCCCCTGGGGTGCGCGTAGCTCCATCCCACTCCCTGACCTAGCCCCCTGGATGTGCAGCACCCCCTGCCTCTGCCCCTGCTCCACCCCCTCCCTCACTGTGGGGGTCTCATTCTGCCCCCCCCACCTCCCCATGCCCATCTCCCTCCACATACTTATACTTACCTTCACCATACTACTCTCCTTGCTGCTCGACTGCATTCCTAGCCACATGCATGCTGCAGCTGCTTGCATGCACGTGACGTCCAGGGGCCCTGGCAAGAAGGCATATTATATTTATCTGTGACATTATCAGCTACACTGGCCAAAAAAAGCCAATAGCTGATTACTTTAATTTTCCTTTTATCAGTGCCTGTCCAACATGCAATCAATATATCAGTGCACCTCTAATTCCTGGATTCTTATTGCCTGTGCTAGTAGGAAATGCTCTTGTGCCAGGGGCAGTGAACAGAATTCCTATAAAATGAAAATATTATCCACAACAGCATCTATGTATTTAGAGGGTTTTTTTCTCATAGTGCATTAAACATCAGAACACTTATAATAGTGTATTAAGCAATGTGATTAACATATCTTGGGTTTGTTGTTCCCTCACTCTACCAAGTATGCATGATATGGCCTATTCATGTTAAAGAATATAAGGTCAGGAGACACACCTTGCACTTGAAGCAGAAACTGGTGACATGTAAACTATCATTAGTTACCTGGGGAATTCATTCCGCAGTCTCAAACCAGCCCCAGGAAAGTTCTGTCTTCTGCAAAGATGAACATTACTTCTGTAGAGAGTTACATGATGTCATAGAAGCAAAGCTTTCAATCCTTGTCTGTATCCTGGAGCTTTCGGTGATCTATTGGATATCCTGGGCCCAGGAGCACATCTTGAAAATAAAAATTGATTCCACAGCTAATGGGAAATAAGTGAAGAGAGAAGATCAGTTTGATAGAAACCCTCAGGGTCCACAGAAACTGATTTTTAGTAAAACATCTGTTAATACCAGTGTTTAGTTGTTTTTAAAGCTCTTCTAGATTTCTGCACTGATTAGAAAAAGAAGGGTGGTAGCTGTTTCCTGGCTCTTGTTCAAGCTTTTTGTTTGCCCATTAACGGGACACAGCTTGTGTTTATGAAATCTGTCTCTTAAAGTGGTTGCAAATGTTATGTCTCTTGAAGCCTTTACTGCACTTCACTTACAGTAAAGGTCAGACAAGACTTTGTTATAGTTTAATTCTTCATATTTGAAGTTGTATTCTCTAAACAGTGAGTTGTGGGCCTAATGGCTAATGTAGTCATTTCACTATAGAATCATCACTGTCATTAAAACTGAAAGCTTCCTCTGTCATTTCCATCCATTCTTCAACTTGGAACAGCCCAAATTCTTTACCAATAAAATCTTCCAAAACTTTGAGGTCCCATTTTTAAAAATGTCAAAGTTTCATTGACTTTGAATTCTGAGTTGCATAGGTTTGTTTGAAAATGTTATCCTTTATGTTTCTCTAGCGCAGTTATTCTCAACTAGGGTGAGGCAAGATTCTTTGAAGGGTGTAACACAATATTAGCACTACTAACTGCAAATATGTGCATAGTTGAGAAGACAAACCCAGAGGTATGAAAAATATTCTGACCTGTTGTGGTCTAGAGGTTCCATAAACCTATATCCTGTCCAGGTGCTTTTCTTGTCTCCATTTAAAGGGCCAGCTTATTAAAGAAAGATAATACTATGAACTTCATATAGCAAGCTTATCCCTAGAGTACACCATGCTTTCTTAAAGGTGAGCCCGTATCCCCTATTGGAAAGATGAGGAAACTCAGGCAACAAAAGTGAAATGACTTAGCTGTTATTATATAGAAAACTCTGTGAAATACAAAATGCAATTAGAGCTTGGTTTTTTTGACTTCTAGTTAGTGGATGCTGCTTCTGCCCACCCCCCACGGATATTTTCTCCTGCAATAACATCTGCAAAACTATTACCCATGAATTTGACTTAAGGTTAGTACTTCTGAAGCGTTGTGTGCCTTATTGGATTCTTCAGCTTTCTTCTTCATGTCCTTTCTAGTATGCCATGAACCCAACTTCTACTCCAGAGGACCAATTTTTCAGCCAGTACATTTATCGTCCCAAGCTAAAGATTTATGAAGAAGATTGCCAGCTTCTTTCTCAAATGATCAATGAGTAAGTTTGTTTTTTTCATTTGAACGTTTATATTAGTATTTTAGCTTTTAACCCTTAACCTTGCTTTTAGCTGAATGCAGGATGGCCTGAAAAGAG